GCCGAGGCCCCCTGGCCGCCCCCCGCTCCGCCTGGGCCAGCTGGCCCCGCTTGGCCTCGAGCTGGCTGGCCGCGACGTCGGCGAAGCAGCTGTCCACTCCGTCTGGCGGCGCCGCCGGGAGCCCCTCGAGCTGCTCGACCGCCACCTGCAGCCGCTCGATCGCAGTGGCGAGGCCGCCGCTGGATGGGCGCTCCACTGGCGGCAGACTTCTGCGACTTGGCCGACGCGGCCCCGCTCGCTGCGCCCCGCGCCTGCCGGCGGGCACGGCGCCCGCGCGGCTGGCCCACCCAGCCTTCGCCGTCGGCCTTGGGCGGGGCCCGCGCCGCCCCCTTGGCCCAGGGCGGAGCGGCGCGCTCACGCCCCAGGCAGGTGGGGCGCCAGTCCCAGTTCCAGCCCCCGCAGCCACGCGCCCAGCACATCTCGCTGCCGCCGCCGCCGCCGCCGCCCGAGGAGCGAGGCGCGGCGCGCGCTGCGCCGAGCGCGGGCCACCGCAGCGATGCCACAAGGGCCGAGAAAGAAACGCGCAACTTTCCTGGCCCAAAGCGAGGGGCCCCTCGCGCCCGGAACGCCGCGGACGACTCGCGGTCGCCAGGTGCCTGGTCTGGTGTGCTGGTCTGCGCTGCTTTGGTTCGCCGAGCAGATCTGCCGCGCTACTGTGGTCAGCCGTGATTGTTTGCCACGTTGCCGCGGTCTGCCGCGCTGGCTTTGGTGCTCGGGAGCCCCAGGGGCCAAAGAGAAGAGGGGGGGGGGGGCCCGCTGAGGGCCACGGGGGACGCGGCATGGAAATCGGGAGACCTCGAAAAACCCGATAAGTCGCCGTCACTGCCAACGACTCCCCCCGCCCCGCAGCAGGAGCTGGCAAACCCTGCTGCACAGACGCAGTCTGCCCAGGCGAAAGCAGTCCGGCTGGGCGCTGGCGGGCAACGAACGACGACCGCTCGCATAGACGACCAACCGCCGCCGCACGCTCTCCGCCGCTTGGCTGGACCCAGAAGGGCCGCTTGCGCTCCTCCACCCGTCAGCATCCGCTGCCCACCCCTCGAAGCTGGACTCGTCGAGGCCGCGGGCGGTTGGGGCGTTCTGCTTCGCGTGCGTCGCTGGCCCTCTGGCCCCGGGCTGTTTCTGCGCAGTAGGCCGGGCCGAACTCGCCCCAGCCGCGCGAGTCCTCTGGCGCCGCCTCTGCGCGGGGCTGGAGCCCGAAACACTAGAGGAAACGCGCGTTGAGCACCTCGGTGGGCGGCCGAGGCCTGAGGACCTGACGCCTCTTGCTGCGTCGCCCTCCAGGATTCGGTCTCCTCTCCCAGGGGCCACGCTGGTCTCAAAAGCTTTTGTCCGCGGCCAGCCCCCTTGCATCGGTCCGCGGCCGCGGGCCTGCACCCCCCTCGCCCGCCGAGATGAGCGCGCGCTCCACAGCTGGAGAAGCCGACCTCTTCATCACCCTGCTCTGCTCGAGCACGGCAGAGACCGTGCCCCACGACGACAAGCCCCGCCGTGCAAAGCGAGTTGCCCTGGTCTTTCGCTGCGGCCTTCATGCTGCCAGTGCGCCTTCTCTTGACGCCATCCTGTTTCTCCAGCGGCTCCTCGGACGAGACGGTGGGCCTCTTCCTGTTCTCGCCTTCGGCAATGTCATGCGTGTCCCACGTTGACCAACAGCTGGTGCTCGATGGGGGCCTTGGCTATCCACGTGCCCAGCATGTGCAGGACCGCCTCAAACGCCTGGAGCCCCCATACCGTCTGTTTCGCCACCTGGCGCAGCCTGGCACCCCTCTTGGCCTAAAGGTCGGCGTGATGTTCGCCGCGCAGCTGGGCCTCAATCAATAGCCCTTTCTCGCATTTGTGCCCTGGGGCGCTGCGCCGGCACTTTGCGGGCCCGGTTGGAACTGCGGTCGAACGCGGAGAAGAGACGCGACCAGAGGTGGGGCACCTTGTTTGTTGACGCCATCAAAGTAGGCCAAGCCGCGTCGAAGGCAAGCGACGGTAGAGCTGCGGGCCCCGTGAACCCGCACAGCATCCAAATCGCGAAATCCTTCTTGTCCTCGGCGTCTGCCAAGAGCAAGGATCCCGACGCGCCGCGCCGAACGCTACCGCCATAAGGTTGTCGTATGAATCCATCTGCGCTACCGACCAATCTGCGCGACGGAGCGCGCTGTGTCTCGGCTCGCTGGCCGAGCCTTCCAGAAAGAAGCCGCTGAGCCTCGATTCGGCAGGCTGGCTGTTCCAGTAGATGCCGATGTCGCCCGCGAGCGGCGCAGGCGGCGCCCAAGGCGCTGGCAGCCAACGCCGGGCGAAGTCCTCCGCCGCTGCCTCGCCCCAGCCCGTGATCCGCATGCCACGCTTCCAAAGCCTGGCCGAACAACAGTCTCGGCGAACGGGCTCCAAGGATGGGCTCTTGACGAGCCAGTGCCAACGCGCGCCCCTGGGCGCCCCGCAGGCACAACCCTCTCGCCGGCGTCGAACAGGCGCTGCTGGGGCCAGCGGGCGCTGGATAGGTAATAGGTGAGCGCCGTCGCCCGCCCGCCCAGCAGACCTCCTGGCCAAACGAGGCCCCCGATGGCGTCCCAGACAAGGGTTGCGCGAGGAAGCCGCCCTGGCCAGCCTCCTCAACACGGCGGTCACAAGCCCTCCTGGCCCCACACATCGCCCCAAACCCGAAATTATTGGGCGACAAACGCAGAGAACTCCAGCTGGCCCCACGCGTCCGAGAAGGGTGCGCAGTCAAAGAAAACCTCCCGCCGATGTGGCTCAGGGTAAGCACCGCTGCGTCGACAGGTGAACGGCAGTGGACCCAAGTGCTGCCGTTCCCTGGTGCCTCCTGGCCGCTTCGAAGCGGGCCGCCATCGTGCTGGTGGGAAACTCACCAGATTGGACAATCGCCCCCAGCATTGCAACCGTGTGCCCAACGTGGATGGTCGCAGGGTCCAAAGCGCGGCCGCGCATGGTCTCAGCCACCCGTGGACGCAGGCCGAACGATGCGCCTTGGGAAACTTGCCAACGGCACGGGCCGATATAATCCTCCATGCGCGCAGCTCGCAGTCGGGGCGGCCCGTGACCGCATGGCCCCACAGCATGCTGGTCGTGGGCCCCACTCTGGTCATGAACCTCCTGGCCATATGGGGCGCCTCGATTGCTCAAGAACGGCCCCCGTGCGCCCCTCGCCTCGTGATGTTGGCGTCTGCGTCCAGGTTGCAAACCTGCAGGGCCCTTTCGAACATCTGACCTGCCTTGCACCACCATTTGTCGCCACTCATCGGCCAAGCCGATGTGCTGATCTGCCGTGTTACTTTGGTATGCCGTGCTGGTTTGCCGCGCCAGGGTGATGATGTGGCCATGATTATTGTCTGGCGTCCGGCGTGTATGGTGCGAGTGTGTTGTGAGCGTTGTGTCGTCAGCGTTGCATTGCATTGAGCGGGCGATTAAGACAGACACACCATGAGCGTGCCGACCGTGTACTGGACAAGCGGGGGAACATACACAGGATGTGCGCGTGTGTTGTACGTGTTGTGGTATGACAATGCGTGGTGCGTGGTATACAGCGCGCATTGCTTTGTATATGCGATGCGCGCGGCGCTGTATGCACGTGCGTGCGTGCATCTGTCATGCGATATGTGTTGTGTGATACGTGATGTCCGCTTGTGACTAGCAAAATGAAGCCAGGCGCGTGATTTTGAATATTGCTCAGTGCTCGATCGCGGGGGGGGGCGCCCACCAAATGGAAACGCACCGAGGCGGCGCCGGTGATTATTGCTGACGCCCGGGCGACAGGGGGCGGGGGTGGGGAACCGGGAGGGAGGAGCGGCTGAGGCAAGGGCGGTGGCCGCGGCTACCGTCGCCCTCCCCGCCGCCGCATTATTAACGCGTTTCGCAATCGACCGGAGTTCCCGTCGTCACGATGGAAAAAAACCCTGAAAGAAGCGGGCCCTGGACCACGGAGTTCCCGCGAGGACTTGCTGGGTCGTTTTTCGGTTGCGTCGGGCACTGGGGCCCGAAAGCGGGAAAAAGTCTGCCAAGGCCCACCTCCAGCAGGACATGGGTCCACCGCGACACCCTGCAGCGACACCAAAACAGCGAGCTGGCCAGCTAACCAGACCAAAGCGACGCTCGGCGCGACCGAAATAGGCGCGGGAAGAGTGGGCACGAGATCCACAAAGACATGTTTGCCGAAACCGACAGAGGCCGCTGTAGGGCAGGGGCATCGTCGCATCGAACTGACAACGTCCGCGGCAACACCCACAGCCCACACCGCAGGGCCCACGAACGAACGAGGTCGCACTGCATGTGCGCAACACTCACACATGCACTGCGCTGCAATCCACGGGCGCGCTCCCCCTCGGAGGCGGCGCGTCGTTCATGCCGTTTGTCCTCTCCGCGGTGCGGTGGCACCCCGAGCCCTCCGAGCCCTGGCGCGCGTGAGCAAAAAAAACAATATCGCGCCCTCGGGGGGGGTGTATATCATTTGTCAGGCACCTGTTGGCGTCACCGTGTGCAGGCGGTTCCTCCCACGGAGACCTAGAGAACATCCTGGTGGCATCCCCCCTGTCCTTCTGCTCCCTCCTTCTCTCCTCGTGTCCGTTCCTCCTCCTCCTCCTCCTCCTCCTCCTCCTCCTCCCTGTCTCCCTCGTCCCTCCACCGCCTCTGCCCCTTGTGACGCCGACGGCAATGAGACAACGGCGACAACGACCGGGAGAACAAAGAAACATCGATACCGCCACTCACTGGGCCTCTCCCGCGGTACGATCTAGCCAAGATTCCCAGAAAATCCAGCCGTAGCGACAAGGACCCCCCCCAGGAGGCCTAGAAGCGGGAAGACGACGGAAAACAACATGCGGCATCGGCATCCTTGATCCCTATCTGAAGGACCACGACCAGGGACGACGCCGTCGACGACCAACCACCTTCTCCTCCTCGGAACAGGAGCGTCGTCGACGAACAGCGGCAACGACCAACGACGACGTCGACGGCGACCGCCCCTGCGGCCTCCCGCGCGCGACCCCGCACGGGGCCTGCCGCTGTCCAGCGATATCGAGGTGCCCGAGGGCGTGAAGTCCAACCGCGGGTACTGCGGCGGCAAAGAGGCCTCGGGACGAATGATTCCGCTGTGTGCCGATGGATGTCGTACGGTACGCAGGTCTAGGTCACACCATCTACAATAAAGTATAACCACATGTAGATATGTGTACATAGGCTCACGGCCAACTATGAGGCTATACATACCATGGGTGCTGATGTCATGTGAGATGTGTGTTCGTGTTGCTCGGATCGTAAATTTAAACGTGGCATCTGTGCAGGTGTACCTATGGCTGCGTTTAGCTGGAACCAAACATATATTACACTTGCAATAGCATATCAGGTTTTGTTTGCAGCCCTCCCCTATGTATCCACCATCCCCCCTGGTGGCGCCAGTCTGTGAACTCTTCTGCTAGATTGCTGTCGTGTGTTCCTTGTGTTGACTTATGTCCTTCCATCTGCCCCCTGCCCCCTCCTCCAAGAAATCCCCGTCATGTTTGCGGCGATACGAGAATGTGGCTGTCCTCCTGATCCGCCACCGTGCCCACTGGCACGTTGAGGCGTGGAGGAATGCCAAGGTCTGCCTCGTAGGGCTTTCTGACATAATAGAGGACCACCCCTTGCTCTACCGGCAGGTTCCTGCGTGCTCCGCCCCTCCTTCCCGAGGCCACTTCCATCCTGCCCGCTGGAAGGTGGCGCACTCCCAGCATGGCAGCTATTGCCCAATCATCAATGCCACGCGTGTCCGCTCGAGCATTGCGCACTTCCCTGATTGCAACTGAGCCTGAACCTTCAATCCATGAGCGCACGCACAAGGATTGTGCACTTACCGGACAGCAGTCAGTGCCCGAATCCCTGTTCCACGCGTGTCAGTTCAAGGATAGTGCACCACCTGCATGGCAGCTTGTGCCTGAACCCTCATTCCATGCGCGCCCGCTCGAGGATTGCGCACTTCCCGCATGGCTGCTACCTCCTAGACCCCTCATCCCACGCGCACCCGCTCGAGAATCGTGCACGTCCCGCGTTCTCAGGCGCTGCTCGCAAGCGCCCCAAGGCCTCCCAAGCCAGATCCTCGCTAAGAACGATGGATCTGCGTCCCGAGCTTCCAAGACGGCCCGTGCAGGCAACCAAGGACATCAAGATGGCCCAAAATGCCTCGAACACGGCCCAAAGATTACCCAAAGGCGGCCACAAGTTGCTTCAAGAGGTCCCATGATGCCCCCAAGAGGGCCACAAGAGGACCTTCAGCAGGGCCCGAAGAAGCCCAAATCAGTGATTCCCCTCAAATTGTTGAATGCGCTCGTCGGCTTGATCGGGCTGCCGTCAGCCCAAGACGGCCCACGAGGACTCCACGATGGCGCAAAAGGCAGCAAAGACGGCCCCAAAAGACGGCCCAAGAGGGCCTCCCGTGGAAGCCAAGACGGCCTTAGAAGGCCCTTGGACGGCCCAAGACTGCGCCACGACGACTCAACGACTCCACACAGACACCCACCATGCGGCCAAGACAACACAAAGCAAGCATCAGAGGGCCCCAAAACGGACCAAGAGAACCCGAAGGGACTCCCAAGACTGTCTCACAGGAGGCCATCACACGAGTTCCCAAATCATCATACTCATCAGCATCATCATCATCGTCATCGTCATCATCATCATCATCATCACATCAGCAGCAGCAGCATCATATTCCTCCTCATTATCATCAGCAACATCATCGTCATCATCATCAGCATCATCAGCATCATCATCATCATCAGCAGCACCATCATCAGCATAAGCATCATCATCACCATCAGCATGAGCAGCATCATCATCATAGTCAACATCCTCATCAACCGCACCATCATCATTAGCATTAGCATGATCACCTTCGTCATCATCACCACAATCATAATCATCATCAACATCATCATCAGCAGCCTTACCAGCATCATCACCACCACTACAATCAACATCATCGTCAGGATCATCAGCATCATCAGCAACAGCAGTATCAGGGTCGTCATCATCATCAGCAGACTCATCGTCATTATCATCGTCATCGTCGTCGTCAGCATAACCATCACCAACACCAGCACCATCATCACCATCATCATCATCATCAGCCTCATCGTCATCATCATCATCATCATCATCATCATCATCATCATCATCATCATCATCGTCATCACCAGCATCATAGCCATCAACATCATCAGCTGCAGCAGCATCATCAAGTTCATCATAATCATCAATGTGAGCATCAACTTCAGGATTACCGGTCGTCAGCATCATCATCATCATGATCAACATCGGCATCGTAATCATCATCATTCTCATGATCAGCATCATCATCATCAGCAGCATCACCAGAACCATCACCAACATAACTAATCAACAACATCATCATCGATATAACCACCACCACCATCATTACCGTCATCACCTTCAGCATCACCTGCAGCATCACCGGCCAACAACAACATCATCATCATAATCATGATCGGCAACCTCATCATCATCATCATCATCATCATCATCATCATCATCATCATCATCATCATCATCATCATTACCATCATCCGTATCACCACCATCACCAACACCAACACCATCAGTATAGATCATCGTCATCGACCATCAGTGTAGGTCATCACCAACACCAACACCAACACCACCAGCCATCGGCACCGACATCGGCATCGGCATCATCATCATCATCATCATCATCATCATCAGCATGATCCTCATCATCACCACCACAATCACCATCAACACCACCATCACCATCGCGCTCATTATAGATTATCGTCATGTAGATCATCATCGGCATCATCATCATACTCATCATCAGCATTACCACCATCAGCATCGTCACTATCATTATCAACATCATCATCATAATCATCATCAGAATCATCATCATAATCATCATCAGCATCATGATCATCATCGTCATCATCAGCAGCATCATCATCAGCAGCATCATCGTTATCATCGTCAACATCCCCATCATTCTCATCATCCTTATCACGGCTCTCCCAAGCCTGGATTACAAGAGGTGTCACACGCGGCTGTCTTCCGTGCCCCATCGAACAGTGGCCACCCAGAATGCTGGGCTGACTCGGTGGCGGGACTTGCCGCAGGCAGTTGGACATTCTTCCTCCTCCTGCTGCTCGAGGAGGGAGCCCGGCGAGGCGAAAAGGGATGGAGCACGAACGAAGGCGGCCGCATGGTGCCTTCTCGCTGGACGCCTGGTACACGGAGTCCTTGCCATACCCGTCGCTTCCGTCTCTTCCCTCCGCTGGCATCGTCGCCTCGCGAAAAAATCGCGACAAGAGGTTGTTTTCCCCACCCGACAGGTTGGGCCTGTCACATTCGAGAAACATGTTCCCGACCCGGCCCGCACGCCCTGCGTACCGCGGCCGCCCTGCCCATCGGGGCTGGGTGATACTTAGGTCTACCGCCTCGCGTGTTCGACGAAAGACCACTGCATACCGCGGCCGCCAAGGCCCCAGAAAACCCGTGTTCTGTGCAGATACCGCCTCACGTGTTCGGGTGTGCAGCCCCCAAAAGCAAGACACTGTGCCGTGCTGGGCCTCCAGGAGAGGGGAGTCAGACCTCAGTGGAACCACGTTGCACAAATCACAAGGGCGTCGGATCTCTGGGTCCCCTCCAGCTTGCGTCGTTCCTCTGTGCGCCTCTTGCTCCTAAGCGGGCTTCTTGTGCGCTGCATGTGGCTGTCTGGCGCGCAACTCTTCTTCTGCACGCGCAACCTTTACCTTCCGGCGGCAGCCTCCCACCGACAAGGCTCGGCGGTGGCATCCCTCAGCGCGACCCAGCGGGTTGAAAGGGACCAGCCGGGCCCGGGTCAAAAAGTCTGGGTCCCCATCACCCCTCTATTATGGCTGACGTCGTCCGCTTCCTCCCTGTCCGACGTTGGCCTGCGCGCCGGCCGCTGCTGCGCTGCGGCTGCCCCCTCGACGGCGCGGGCGGCTCGGGCCAGGCCTCGCGCGTGGCTCCGCGCCGGCGCGTGCCCTGGTAGTGCAGACGACGGGGGCGCTCGTTAAGGAGTGTGCCCTGAGGATTTCCGATCTGATGAGGGCGGCGGTGAAATCTCTGGCCGACGCACGATTCGAGTTCACCCAGCGCACGGACCCTCGATTCCTCTTCCGAGGATTCCTCATCCCATGCCCTCACCGAACAGAAAGAGCTCGACCACAAGAAACCGTCCACAAGAAACCCAACCCTGAGACCCCAGGACGTCCATGGAGTTCTGGCGTGGCAACGTCACGCTCCCCATGGCCAAACCATCGAAACCCAAGAAACCCATGGCACCCTGGAGGCAAGCAGGGTGTTTCTTGGCATGGGCTTCCACTGCACGGACCCCCGGATTCTTCTTCCGAGGATCCTCCATCCAATGCCCTCACCGCACGGAATCCAAGAGGGGGGCCCCGCGGTCTCGTGAGACCCTGCTGCCGATGCGGCTAGGCAGCACTTCAAGAGAACAGAAAAGCAGCCCCCCAACCCTCCCAGCCCAGAAATCTTCGACCCACCTGCAGACCGGCGACGAAACGACGGCCTTTTACCCAGACCCCCCGAACTTTCCAAGGCAGCTTAGATCAGACCTCCCTGTCCTATCGATACCCAGAATAATCCAGGCGGGGGGCAAGGTCTGAGGCCCCGCGGCAAAGGCTTCTGAGGAGCGGGACCCCGCCGAGCTCGGCGGGCGGCGAGGGGAAGCGCTGGGCTGCGATGGCTCGAGCCCCCTTCAGCCTGCGGTTACCCCCTGGCCGATTTAACACGCGGATGCTGATGTTGCGTCCCTCCTGCGCCGCCTCCTCTTTCTCGTCCGTCCTCCATCCTCCGTCCTGCGTCCTCCGTCCTGCGTCCTCCGTCATTGTTCTCCATGGGCCTCCACTGAAACCCCTAGAAACTCGAACCCCCAACCGGCCCCGTAGAGCGTCCGAAAACACTGGAGCCGCTATACCTCCCCGCCATTGCCAAAGAACTTTCGGCTGGCGGGGATTAGCTTTGCTCGCGCCGACACCCGATGCGGCGATTTGCACCTTTGGCGGGGGTAGGCAAGACGACGGCATAGGCTTCAGCTTCACCCGGCCCCATGTCCGCGCGCGCCTTGCTGCGCGCGCGGGTGCAAGGACTCTTCCGCGCCACGCACTGGGGCACCGTTCCGGCTTCAGCTCCATGATCTTCGTTCACGCTGCTTCGGGCACGGCCTGCTTCGGAGGCACCTGCGGCCCCGCCACCGCGGGGTTGCGTGCCCGCGGCTCCGCCACTGCGGGGGGCTGCGAGGCCGAACGCTCGCTCGCCGACTCGTCGTCGGCGTCCCCAGTGGAACGTCAGCTGCGGGGCCTGCCGCCCTCGAGGCGGCTGCAACATAGAAGACGGCGCCCCCGAGGGCCTCCACATGTGGGGTCCCCAACATGCGGATGGGCGGGAGCGCCTTGGAGAACTGCCGCCCCACCACGTTGCACCGAGGTGCGCTCGCCCCACCCGCCGTCTCAGCCCTCGCCCTTGCAGCCCTTGCCTTCGGCTCCGGGCGCGCCGTCCCCGCCCTCATCCCTGATCTCTCCACTCCCGCTCCCGCTCGTCGGGCTCGCGGGCGAGCTCTTGGCGCCCGCGCCCGCTGGGGCGGAGTGCCGGAGCGCGCCCCCGCACCCAGGAGCTGCAGGCGCGCCCTCGCCCTCCCCAGCGGCCGCTGCCACGGGGGGGAGAGGTGCTTCGGCATCGGCGCCGCGGCCCCGGTGCCGCGCGCCCCGCCGCTTGGACCGCGGCCCGCTGCTTGCGCCGCGCGCGGCTGAGAAGCGGGCGCGCAACGGGGGGGAGGCAGGAGGGAAAAGGAGAGGGGGAGTGAACGAGCCTGGCGGCCTGCTCAGGCTGAAGCTCGGCGAGCCACGGATCTCCCAGACGGCCCGCACACAAGGGCAGCAGTAGTCATAAAGGTGACCCTCGCCGTCACGAATGGGCGCGGCGCTGAAAACTGGCAGCGCGCAAGCTGCGCGTGGGCCGCCTCCTCCCGCCACCTCGGCTAGGCCGTCAGCCACCATCGCCACCGCAATGGTTTTTTTTGCCCGCAATGCTCCAGCTGCCGAGGTTGAACGCCAGGCGTCCAGCAGAGGCAGGCGACAGCGAGACCTAGCCTCTACGTGCAGGGCGACCTGCACAGGCTACAGACGCGGGGACCTGTAGCAGGAGGGCAGACGATTCGTCCTGGCCCCTGTTAGGCCGAGACAAATGAACAGCCCGAAAAGACCCCAGCGACCCCGTGGGTCAGGGGTACAAGGCGAAAGAGAACTTCCTAGTCCGAGTCTCAGGACGAAGGAACCTCAGGACACCCACCAGCAGCTCGGACTAGTCTGTTGACTTTCGCTTGGAAGATGGCGGCAGCCGACCGAGCGGGAGCAAGAGGCTCCAGGCCGACAGTGTCCGCCGCAGCAGCTTGCGCCTGTCGGGAAGCAACCCGAGAGGTGTTGCCCCCGATCGGGGGTGAGAAAGCCTTGGACTTCACAGCAGGACCGAGGGTAGACGACGACGAATACTCCACGACTCTATCAGGCTGTGAGACCAGTAAGAGACTGGCGGCGCCCTCTTCCTCGTCGAAGCCTTCCAACAGGGGCTCGGCCTCGGAAGGTAATACCAGGAGCTCAACGGCTCCTGTAGGGACCACCGCGCGCACTCGAGGCGGGTACGAAACAGGGCCCACCTGCTCGGTGCCTAACTCTGCCGCGGGAGCCTCTCCCGTTGGAGCAGCAACCGGCCCGAACACATCCACAACGCCGCGGGTTGCTTCTCCAATGGGAGGGGCACTGGCAAAGCCATCCACAAAAACTCGGACCTGCGACTTGTCGCGCTGGGGGTGGACACCCAGCAGCAGTCTTTTCCACTTGGATTTTTGCCACGGGTGCATGGTCCCTGGGCCAGGGCAGCGTCTCAGAAACAGGTTCGATTTGAGCGGTGATCCCGTCGAAATCTGAGCCGTGCAATGAACGCAGACATACAAAATGGAATGATCCGAACAGGCGAAGCCTACAATAAAGTGATGATTGTCACGGACCAATTCGAAATCTAGCCCTGGAGCGGGCCCCGCGCACTTCCTAGGAGGAGGGATAGGACGTGCGCCGAACCTGAACGTGAACTTGGCCCTAGATGCCTTGAAACAGAAATTGCACCGCCAGAATCCCGCAATCCTGGCAAAAGAGCACGCTTCTGAAGCCACAGCAGCGGCCCTGGGACGATCGGGCTTGATATACTCAACTTCCCCGAACTCCTTGAGGGGCGGGAAACGTGGCAAAAGCTTCATAGCTAACCTGCAGAACGCATCCGTGCATTTTATACGCAGTTCGGTTTCTTCCAAAACCTCGCGGTCCATGGGACGCAACAAAACCGCATTCTTTGCGCCTAAGTCAGCAAGGTGATTCCCAGTCCTGCTATACATTTCATCCTCAGACAAGCCTGCCTCGCTTAAACTGAGATGAGCCTTGATCTTTATCACCTTTTCCAAAAACTTGTGGGCAACGTCAGCCCTCGCCTGGACGATATGTCCAGCATAACCTTTGCGAAAATGTGCATACGAGTCTGGCGCTGCGTGGTAATCATTGACCACATTGGCGCAGTCCGACAGAATGGAGGCAGGGCCCTTGAGGCACATAACTGAACCTGTAAAAGCAGAATATTCGGCCGCCTGAGGTGACTGACGGAGAGGCGGATGCACAGGGCAACGGATCTCGCAAATGCACACCCCGTCCTCGACAGCATTGCAACACCATCCTGCGCGGCAAAGCTCGCGAATGGGATGCCGCGTGCAAGAGCCATCTACAAAAATGTCACCTTCCAGCGAAAACTCGTTTTCAGGAGGATCGACGAACCATTCGGCGACCCAGGGCCCAGCCGCCAGCGGCCCAGGGTGGATGTCCCCAGGATGAGGTAAGCCTCCACGAGTAACCGAGAACAACAGATTACGGTTCGTAACATGGCCGTCGATGTTCTCAAGTATTTCTCGACCGACGAGCTCAAGACGTTCATCTGCCAATGCAGGACATTTCCACATCCTGTGATACAAAGTGTCGCGGCACCCGCAACCCAAAGGACACTCCACAGGGTGCTGATAGCCCTTCCCGAGGGCATAGACACGGGCCCAGAGCGCACCAGACGCGACCGCCCTGAGAGCCCCTTTCTCCAGAGGAGTGTTCTTTTTGGACCGCAAATGCCGAGCGACGATATCAAAACAAACCCTATCAGGAAAACCATG